TGTGAGGCAGACAGTGGGGTCCATGAGTGTGGAACTCAGGGAAGTGATATACACTTGGGCATCAGCAGCACACTCATGTTGTGTCTAGCACTGTCTTAGTGGAGCATTTAATATAATGGATGAGGTTTTCAGTGGGGGAGAATATAGTCACTTGGTGACTGTATTAGTCATGGTTCTCCAGAGAAAGAGAACCAACAGGATGTGAATATATATACAAGCAAACAAACATTACTTATTATAAGGAATTGGATTATGTGATTATGGAGGCTGAGAGGTCCCAAGATCTTCATGTTGCAAGCTGGAGACCCAGGAGAGCCAATATGTAGTTCCAATCTGTGTCCAAAGGCCTGGGAACCAGGAAAGCTGATGGTGTAAATTCCAGTCTGAAAGCAGACAGGCTCCAGACCCAGAAAGAGTTGATGTTTCAGTCTGAGTCCAAAGGCCAGAAGAAGGCAAATGTCCCAGCTCAAAAACTCAGGCAGGAGGAACTCCCTCTTACTCAGCCTCCTTGTTCTGTTCATTTCTTCAGTTGATTGGGTGAGGCCCACCCACATTGAGAAGGGCAATCTGCTTTACTCAGTCTCCCAATTCAAATGTTAATCTCACCCAGAAACACCTTCACAGGTACACCCAAAATAATGTTTGTCCAAGTGTCTGGGCACCCTAAGGCCCAGTCAAGTTCACATAGAAAATTAATCATCCCAGTGACAGTAGAGCATTACATCAAATTATAATTATCTGAGGAATGTAGGCAGCTAAAATAAGGAGTTTTTTGTTGAGCTAACTTGTTACAAGGTTAGAAACTAAATTTCAGAGGCAGGCCTGTCTTGCATGGTAAAGGTTGTTTTTCCTGATCATGAAAAAACAGTTTTTTCTAATAGAACTTTACATTGTAAGCAGAGCTGATGAAGCAGGGAGTGGTGGTCAGGGAAGTGTTCTCAGAGGAAGGTAGATCAGGTTTTGCTTGGCGAAGGAGGCAGAGGAGTGGTGTATAGAGAAAGGCATGGAGGTGTGGGAGACCTCGAAGTGTCTAGACAAGAGTAACAAGCACAGTGTGACTGATGTGTAGGGTGCACGGTATAGAGTGGAGGGAGCTGAGATCAGCTGGGCCTGGAGGACCCACAGTATAGTGTGGAGCACCTTGTATTTTCTGCCTCAGGAAGTTGTCTCCACCTTTAGTGGGCACAACAATCACCTGGGGAGCTTGTTAAGAAGTGGGGATTCTTAGGCCTCCTCTCCAAGGAGATGGTTGCAGTCGATCTGGGGCTCAGAAAGCGACAGCTTAATGAGCTCCCCAGCTGATTCCAGTGCAGTTGGTCTACAGACCCCACCATTGCTATGAGCTATGAAGGCTTTTAAGAACAGGGAGTGACATGGCCTGATTTACTTTTTTAGGAATTTAATTCTGCCAACTGTGTGGAAAGTGGACTGACTTCACCAGCAGGGAAAACATATAGGAGGTTGCTGCAGGCATCCTGGTGAAAGATGATGAGAACTGGGGCTGAAGTGTTGGTGGGGTTGAAGAAAAGGGCAGATTTTAAGGGACCTAAGTTAGAAGACATGGTTGACCTGAACAGGAGAAGGGCTGAAAAGAATGAAGGTTGATTCACAAGTGTCTAGCTTGGAAGAATAAGTGGTCAGCAGTGGCTGACCCTGGGTAAATATTTGTTGGAGTGAATAAATACAGGATAAAAAGTGGATGATATAGGTTAAGAAAGGAAAATTCCATTTTAGATGTGTACATTTGAAGGCAATACAAGAGACATGGATCTAGTATTTGTGAGGAAAGTTCACGCAGGTTTGGAGATAATGGATTTGAAAGTTGTTAGCACAGAGATGCTTCTTGAAGCAATAGTAGAGTCTGAGACCACTCGGCAAGAAGGTATAAACCTTAAAGAAAACAGACGCAAGAATATGAAACTTTTGGGGTGTTTAAGGGGCAGACAGAGGAAAACTAGCTGACAGGGAGGGAAGACTGGCCAAAAAGAAGTTAGAGGATTGAAAGGAAAACTTTGAAAAGTTTTGAAAATAAAGGGAAGAAACAATTTCAGAAACTACATGTGCGTGCGTGCGTGCGTGTGTGTGTGTGTGTGTGTGTGTGTGTTGGAGGGCTGTATTGAGAGTACGTTGTCAATCTGAATGCTGAAATATGTTCTACCAAACTCTTCTTTCTAACATAGTTTGCCAGTAGATTTAGCTCTCCAGTAAGGTCATTCCTGATTCCTGATAGAAACACCAGGTCAACAGCATAAAGGAAGATAGTAGTCTTATTTGCTGTAGCCAGAGGGCAGTACTTATTTCAAGTAAAAGCTTTTTTAACTTATTTAGACATGAGGTGGGCTAGAATATATTAACCCCCATCCCCACAGCATTTGTTTCTTTACAGCATTTAGATTAGAATTAGCCTTGTTCGGATCTCTTTCTGTTAAGCTTTCACAGATTTTGAAGGTATATTAACACACCACCAGCAGATACAAGGGTGCCCATCTCTTGTGTGTGTGAAAATTATTATTTAAAAAATCTCTGCTAGTATGTTTATTAAAACAGGTAACTCACTTTAACTTTAATTTTGATTTCTACCCCAGGCCAATACTTTTCAGATGGTTATTGGATATTTGTATTAATATTTTTTCTGTAAATTCTGTTCAGGATTGTTGCCTACTTATATTTTGGGTCTTAGAGGTCTTTTGGATTGACATTTGTATGTTCCTTAGATACTAAGGGTATTAATAACCCTTTGTTGTACTTGTTATAATCATATTTGCAAACAAGCATCGATGCAGTGGTAGTAGGTAAGTGTTAATAGTCTTTAGAACAGATTCTCCATCAAATTGTGAGGCTCACCAGCCAGGCTTCTTGACGTCTGGTCCTTACCTTTTTGTTGACATTTCTGGAGGTTCTCCAGCCAGGCCCAAGGAAGGTCTTACAGAATCAGTGTCCCCAAAACAAGGGTTCCCCTTGAAAATAAACTGAAAGTGAGCTTGTGGATTGTATCAGCTGTATGACTTAGCTTCCTGGAGCTCAGGCAGACGTGCCTGGAACTATTGTGGCACCTGGGATGTTGGGTTTCCTTGCAGCTAAATGCCAGAAGATTTGTTTTGAAGGCCTGTCTAAAAGAAAGACATGCATGTGTTCATGTTTGTTGGATAAAAAGGAGTCTAGTTATTCAAATATAGACCTTATGACTTCCTCCAAGGTGTTAAATTCATCATCAGACGATCATTTAAAAAATTCGATCTGAGCTCCATTGAGGAGAGGGGGTGAGAGTTACTATTACCTCATTTTTCAAATCTCATTTTCTTACAGTTTATTTTTGGTATTTTATTTTTGTTGTATATTGACCTTGTTTATTGGTAAATTTGATAAATTCACTTAGTTATAGGTCGTCTTCTCTGAGAGAGGTTTTCTTAGTATTGGTGTTCCTTCCTTAAATGGAAGAATTCATCAGTGAAACCAACAGGCTCTGGAGATTCCTCTGTGGAAAGATTTTAAAATGATAGATTTAGTTTCTTTAATGGCTTAAGCATTGTTTACATTTTATATTTCTTACTATATATCAGTTTTGGTTAAGTTTTATTCTTCTAGGAGTTTGTCCATTTTATCTAAAATATCAAGTTTATTGTCTTAAAAATGTTCTAAAATTCCATTGGTGTCTCTGATGTTTGCAGGCTCTGTAGTGAGGCCTCCATTTTTACTTCTACTATTGGTAATCTGTACTTTTCCTCTTTTTTTCTTGATTGATCTTGCTAAAAAGGATGGCCAGTTTTATTAATCTTGAAAGAAAATCATTGAATGCCAGGATGTCTCTCCTAAGCCTCCCCTCTTCAGGAGCCTTGACTGTTTAAGTCCTGACTGTCTTTGTAGGCCCCACCTTTTATTTTCCCTCCCCGAGTCTGTGAGATTATGACTATGTTTGCTGCCAGCATCCATTCTCCGCCTGGTTTCTCACCACTCTCACCCTCCCTCCTGCCCTCCTATCCCGGCCCCTTACAACACCTACCAGCCTAAGAAACATTTCCCTGAGGAAAAAAGAGGTAAACAGAATATTGGACTCACTTTAGTGAGCTTCCCTGTTCTTTGGAATTTTGGCCCTTTATAGCCTGGTTATTTTGACAACTCTCTGATAACTTTAAACAGATGGCTTAAACCCCATACCTTATAGCTATCACCCTCCAATTCCACCTCCCCCCACCCATCCCTAAGCACACATTAATCTACTTTGTGTATGTATAGATTTACCTACTCTGGACATTTCATGTTAATGGAATTATATAAATGAAGTCTTCTATGACTGGCTTCTTTCACTTCACGTGATAGTCAAGGTTCATCCATGTTGTAGCATGTATCAGTACTTTATGCCTTGGCAGATTGTCAGAATCCTTTCTAAGTTTGAATCATCTTTCAACATTTTCTCCTTTGCACTTTCAGTGTCGTGAAATATCTGAGAGTTCTCTTAACCTGAGGGTTTTTGTCTTTTTTTGCCAGTGTCACTTCCTCTGGGACATCTTCATTCTTTTGTCACAGCCACTTTCATGTCAGCATCATAACTACCTGCTTTAACTAATTCTTACAATCTGGATTCAAATTTCACAGCAGCATCCTTATTTGTACCCACTTCATCAGATAGCTTAATCTTAATTAATTCAAGCCAATATCAGAAACAGTGAAACCAGACTTTACTGGCAGTAAAGGTTCTTTTTTGGTCTCCCTGTATCGCCATTTTCTTTCAACATGGTAGCCAGCTTTAATGTGTTGGCCTGAATGCTAGTGGAACTGATTTGGATTTTTTTTTAATTGCAGTCTTTAGTCCAAAGTAGAAGTAAATGCTCCATTTCAACCATAATTGCCTTTCTGTCCCTACTACAATTTAAGCTAAAATATGTGGAAGCAACTTTACCTTGTCTTTTGTATTCATTGAATTTTGTCAACATAGTTTAGACCATAACTTCATGAAAGCCTAGATCTCATCCTATTTTTGCTTTTCTTTTGTCATTCTTCAGATCTTCTAACTGCATCCAGTTTCATTTCCAACATTATCACTTTATATTTGCTGCACTTTAATCTTTGTTGTAAAATGTTTCGTGAGTTTATCACTGGAAAAAAAGGAGGCAACACAACTGTGCTCATTACTGTCTGTGAAAGAAATGAATAGCAAATGTACAGTGGCCAGTCACGAACAGACTTGGGCAGAAGAGATGTGAGTGGTCACTGATCATGACGCCCATCTGTTGTATTGTGGTTGGTGAACTGAAGGTTAGCACAAAATTTATATCTTATGTGATGACTCAGGCTAACATATGGTGTTAACTGAAATTTGAATTGTTTTATTGAATGACTGGTGTTATTTAAACTATGGTAACTAAAATTTGTACATCTTGGAACTGTGCAAAGCCGGGGATGCCTGTAACCTATGCCAATGAATCACTTATCTTTAAACCTTATCTACTTAATGCTCTTGGGTCTCAGACTAACTCTGTTTTGTGTCAGAGTCTTGAGGCTATACCACTCTGACCTTTGAATCAAAATTATTGTAGAGAAGATGATCCCTGTGATTATCTTCTGAAAATGAGTGCTCCTCTTGGCTTCCTACCTCCTAATGAGGCCTTGAGCAGCTCTGCTTCTGACATTTGTCATTTCCTTCTGTGGACAAGACAGCAAAACCTCCTCTATCTGTGCTGCCTGCTCTCCTCACTCTGTTTCTCCATGACCTTGTGATTTAGAACTGCCCTCCAGGAACACATGGCAGCCCTTGCTTGGCTTTAGAGCTCTTGCCTTCCAGCCAGGATGAAAGTTTTGCTTGAAACACCCACAGTGTCAGCCAGCTAGATGCTGCCTTGCTAAGGAATAACTCATAAACCCAAAGGCACTGTTTTCCCTGAAGAATGCCTCATAGTGGCTGTTACAACCTATCTTTCAATCCTCAGGCCAGTCTGGCTTTTTCCCCTTTAAGACTCTAAGTTTCAAATACTCTTCTGTAGTATTTAACATGCACTTCAAAGGTTCACAGAGGAAAAAAGTTTCCTGAAGAGATGCTGTCCCTCTTTATCCTTCAGAACCTTTGAGGCATTTTCAATGTGCCAAAATGGGTTTTAAATGGATCCAGAGAGATTCCTTGTGCTTCTTTTGTGCCTCCAAGCACTTAGAACATGGCTAGGCACATAGGAAGCATTTAACAAGTGCTTGTGACTCTGCTCAGTGAAATGACAAGCTATAGGCGTACTTTGATTTACACTTCAATTTTTTTCTGAAAATTGATGTTTTTGAGGATGGGAAGGGAGACATGATACTGGATTGGCAGGAGGGGAAGAAAACTTGCCCTGAGAAGATTCATAATGTGGATCCTCCTAACAGTGACAGTTTCAGACACCTTTTTTTGATGCTTTTGGAAATGAGTAGTTTGTGGGCAAAATATCTTTTGTTCAAATGCGTATTTTAAATACTTGCTTTATATATGATAGCTCTCTACTAGTGAAAAACTGTTGCAGTCGAAATAAAAAGATGAGGCCATGAGACTTGGGAAAAGATACTGTGACTTGTTCCCTGGAGGGGAAAAGCATGAGACCTAATGGGAATTTCTCTCTTCTGGAGACATGCTTATGTCTAGGCTGTCAAGTCTTCCCACTCATTAGCAGTCTGGGCTGTTTTCCTTTTCATTCTGTCTCACCTATGATAACTGTGAATTCAGTGGACATCTAAATGTATGTGTCGTGAGGGTAGCTTCCTCCTTTCTGCTGTTATTTCTGAGCAGCCTAAGGGCTATTTGAAGGTAGGGCCAAATCCGCTGGGTAGCCTTGTCTTTGTTTCCTCTAGCCCCTAGCGGAGAAGAGGACTATGTGCACTGTGGGTGTCTAGAAGTGCTTACGGAGTGATTATATCATGCTTTCTTTAACAGCTTGTAAGATCTACTCCGGGAGAATCCAGGGTCAGTTACAAGATCAGTTCAGGGCACAGGAGGAAGGATCTGAGGGCTCATGGTGCCATGTCATGAGGCTGGATTTAGGAACAGAAAAGCATGACTCTAGGAACTCCTTTCTGACATGGTTCATTACATGATTCAGAATATTTAAGGGTAAAATGGCAGCTGCACACAGTCAAAAAGTCACACACAATACCAGTGCTAATTCCACCCCAAAACAGCGCAGGTCAGGGGTTCTCAGTGCTTTCTCAATTTGTTTTTTGTTCATTCATGTTAGTTTATGTTTTAGATGAAGAGTTTCAAGAAAGCAGGGTTCAGGGTTCAGGGCTGTATGGTTTGAACTGTGACCTCCCCTGCCAGTTCATGTTGAAATCTCTAAAACCTGTACCTCAGAATGTATACACACACACACACACACACACACACACTA